GCCCGGGTGACCCCGTTGAAATACGCGACCCATCGCGAAGCGCATGACAAGAAAGGAAGAAAAGAAAGGCGGGGGGCCATCTTTCGGCACTCGCGCCCCCGGCCCCTCACGGGGCCGCGGTATCGCTACCGCCACCAGCCCCGACCCACCACCGAGGCACAAGCCGACAACCGACACCCCGCCCGCCCCAGGTGATCGAAGACCAGATACGCAAACGTGCGCTTGGGCCGCCCTGTTATATTAGAATCTAGCTACTGGGGACCACTTCGGGTTTTTGTTCGGGCCACTTTTGCGGTCCAGGTCGCGGGACCCATGCGTGGCCAAGGCTCCCGGTGGCCAGAAGAGCCCCCATTTGTTTTTTGTTCGGCGCGTCTGAAAGTTTATTGGTAGCAGGAGGAGCTGCCCTTGCCGCTGTCTCACATGCTGCGGTTTGGTGTCCAACAGTTACACAGATGGAGGCGGGCCCTCGTCACTATCGCACCGCTCGACACTTCCAGGAAGGGCCTGGTTTGGTACATACGATTCGGGCCGGCTCGGCAGAGGGCGCATTTCGGTGTCGGCGGCTGGCCAGTTCTCAGGAGTTTGATCTGTCGGTCGGGTTTGTTTGGCCGTTTCGGTTCGGCGGCCACACCGCGGTCCCGTTTTTTGGCAGGCCGGTTCGGCGGCGACGAGTGCTGCAATGCTCGCCAGTGCTTCGCCGCTCCTTATTCCCAACCATCCTGTGGTGTTGGGTCCTCGTTTTGAAGAGACAGCGCCCCGCGTCCACTCCTCCCGCTGCCCCCTTCCTCCTCTTCATCCCTGCGTTTCACCCACCGCTTCGTGGCCCCATAGGGAGCTCCACCGAAGGCCCCACTGGCAGGGTTCGCATGGCGGCCTCGGGCCATTTCGGCACACCCCTCACGAAGATCGTGGCCCCATAGGGAGCTCCACCGAAGGCTCCAGTGGCAGGGTTCGCATGGCGGCCTCGGGCCATTTCGGCACACCCCTCACGAGGATCGTGGCCCCATAGGGAGCTCCACCGAAGGCGCCAGTGGCAGGGTTCGCATGGCGGCCTCGGGCCATTTCGGCACACCCCTCACGAGGATCGTGGCCCCATAGGGAGCCCCGCCGAAGGCGCCAGTGGCAGGGTTCGCATGGCGGCCTCGGGCCATTTCGGCACACCCCTCACGAGGATCGTGGCCACATAGGGAGCTCCACCGAAGGCCCCAGTGGCAGGGTTCGCATGGCGGCCTCGGGCCATTTCGGCACACCCCTCACGAGGATCGTGGCCCCATAGGGAGCTCCACCGAAGGCGCCAGTGGCAGGGTTCGCATGGCGGCCTCGGGCCATTTCGGCACACCCCTCACGAGGATCGTGGCCCCATAGGGAGCTCCACCGAAGGCGCCAGTGGCAGGGTTCGCATGGCGGCCTCGGGCCATTTCGGCACACCCCTCACGAGGATCGTGGCCCCATAGGGAGCTCCACCGAAGGCGCCAGTGGCAGGGTTCGCATGGCGGCCTCGGGCCATTTCGGCACACCCCTCACGAGGATCGTGGCCCCATAGGGAGCTCCACCGAAGGCCCCAGTGGCAGGGTTCGCATGGCGGCCTCGGGCCATTTCGGCACACCCCTCACGAGGATCGTGGCCCCATAGGGAGCCCCGCCGAAGGCGCCAGTGGCAGGGTTCGCATGGCGGCCTCGGGCCATTTCGGCACACCCCTCATCAGGATCGTGGCCCCATAGGGAGCTCCACCGAAGGCGCCAGTGGCAGGGTTCGCATGGCGGCCTCGGGCCATTTCGGCACACCCCTCACGAGGATCGTGGCCCCATAGGGAGCTCCACCGAAGGCGCCAGTGGCAGGGTTCGCATGGCGGCCTCGGGCCATTTCGGCACACCCCTCACGAGGATCGTGGCCCCATAGGGAGCTCCACCGAAGGCCCCAGTGGCAGGGTTCGCATGGCGGCCTCGGGCCATTTCGGCACACCCCTCACGAGGATCGTGGCCCCATAGGGAGCTCCACGAAGGCGCCAGTGGCAGGGTTCGCATGGCGGCCTCGGGCCATTTCGGCACACCCCTCACGAGGATCGTGGCCCCATAGGGAGCTCCACCGAAGGCGCCAGTGGCAGGGTTCGCATGGCGGCCTCGGGCCATTTCGGCACACCCCTCACGAGGATCGTGGCCCTATGGGGAGCTCCACCGAAGGCCCCAGTGGCAGGGTTCGCATGGCGGCCTCGGGCCATTTCGGCTCACGAGGACCGTGGCCCCACTGGAGCTCCACCGAAGGCGCCAGTGGCAGGGTTCGCATGGCGGCCCCGGGCCATAGCGGCACATCCCTCACGAGGATCGTGGCCCCATAGTTGCGCTGCTTCAACAACCGCGCATGGGCGTCGTACTCCGCCTTGTCGACGTGCAACGCCACCTCCTCCCTCATGGCTCTCAAGGCCTTCTCCTGCTTCTGCTCCTCGGTGAGAGGGACGCCGTCCTTGTCGTCGTCGGCGCCCGCGAAGACGGCCACGAACGTGTCCCTGAGCATGTCGGGCTCCGGCGGGAAGCCGTGGCCACATAGGGAGCGCAGGCGAAGATGGCATTCACAATTGCGGCATTCACAACTGCATATGGTTGGGTCCTTCGCCAGGATAATTTTCTCCTGCCGCCCACCCCAGGCGCCAGCGCCGATCCGAGAAACCCGCACGGACCTCTGAGTTGTTATGTTTATGCCACTCGTTGTTCCCCTGATTATTGTCTTCCTCCGCCTCCTCCTGCCCCATTCCCTCCTCCTCCCCCTCCCCGCTGCTTCCCCCGGCCCTGCTGCTCCCTCCGGGGGCGGCCGAGCGGCTCCGCTCCCCCAACCTCCGGGGGTCTGTCAGGAGGGGAAGAACCACACAGACACAAGTAATCGTCCACTCCCAGGAAAATGTTGGAACATATGGGAAGTGGAGGGGAAGACAAAAACCCAGAAAATAGGAAGATATGGGGAATCCTTCTATTTGTGCGTGTATGTACTTGTGTGTCCCAGGGCCCCTTCAGTCTGGGAGGGACCCCCTGACCCCCGTGCCCCATGCGCAGGAACCTGTCGTTGGCATCGCTCATCGAGTCCCCATCCCCACCCCATCCCCTTCGAGACCCCCACCAAATTACCACCCCAGTTGGCGATGCACCCCTCGAAACCCGAAGGGAGCGACCTATGTCCTCATCTAGGGGGGTAAATCGGCCAGTGGGGCCCAGGCCACGCTGCTGGGGATGGGGATCGGTTAAACGATACTCATGTAATCCGAAGCAGCAGGGAGGGTGGTGGAGGGTGCGGGAGGGATGTTGGATGTAGTGGACGCGTCCAGGGTTCTCGTAGCAAGAGTTTGACTGCACGGAGGGATGAATGGACCACTTCCGCGTGACGGACTTTTCATCCAGAGTCATCTTTGGCAGTCTTGGCTCGTGGTAAGGGCCGTTGAAATCCGAGACTCACCTGACGAAGAGCCTTCTGTCGTGATTTTGCTGACGACGCGGGTGGGCACTGGTGGGTGGGTGGAGAGTCAGGGGGATGGACGGGGCATTTGCAGCACGCTCGACGAACCAGGGCAAGCAGGATCAACCAACAAACGTGCATGTACGTACACGCAGGTATCTGTCAGTGAATCGCTTCGCTCATTCCGCCGGCCCACAATGTGGACTTGCTGGCTTTTGCCCGCGCGTCGTTTCCCATGTTGCATTGCTTGGCGGTGGTCGTTTTCCGGCGGCATTACGTCTGCAGTTTTGGAGGTGAAGCAGTTCTTGTGTAGTTTCTGGAGAGCTTGTTGGGGGTCGTCATGGGTATGTGGCACCATCGTGAGTTGGGCTTGTCACCCATGGAGCGGGGCTTGTTACCTATGGAGTTACGCTGTTGGGCCACACGTTGTTTGTTTGGGGTCCGTTTGCGGCTATGACGGAATTTCGGGGGGGGGGGCGCGTTAATTCGTGCGAGGATGTTGGACTTCATTCGGCCCCAATATGGTCCACCTGTTGGAGCCGTCTTGGGGGCCTCTTGGGCTGTTTGGGAGGCTTCTTGGGCAGTCTTGGAGCCCTCTTGGGCCGTTTTGGTGCCAGGTTTACGGCATAGTGGGCCGTTTTGGGGCAATCTTGGGCCGTCTTGGAGCGCCGGGAAGCCGAAGAGGCGATAAGGCCCACATTCTTCGAAAGCCACCGGTTGGGACGCTTTTTTGAGTCTTCTTCGGGCGTCTTGGAGGCGTCTTCGGCTGTCTGAAAACCATCTTGGGCGTCTTGGACGGATCGGTCGGCGACTCGGAGCCCTCTTGGACCGTCTTGGGGAACTCTTGGGGTCCTCTTGGAGCGCTTTGGGGCGCCTGACAGGCCGCACCCAGGAGGAAAGCCATCTCTGAACGGATTTGACCGGGCTTCTCCCGCCCGTTGGGCCGGCGACTAACTGCTTCAAAGCCAACAAGGCAGGGGCAGCCAAGGGCTGGGCTGTCACGAGCATGTCAGGTACAGCTGACACGAGGTTTGATACTACTCTTGCAGTTGAGGAGGGGAGCCCTTGTGTTCTTCACGCTAAAGCTCCCCGCCTTGGACTGCCCTTCGTCTTGGACGCCCCCACGGGGCCTGGGGACTTCGGCGAAGGGCTCGTGCTCCAGATGCACGCTCTCGTGGCCAAGCGTCGGGAAACCTCCGGAATCTGACGAAAACTATGTTTGTTTGAGACGTTGGTCTGGAACCCGCCAAGTGGGCACGGAAAGACTGGGCACGAAGACCGAGGGCAGTTTTTGTTCAGTTTGACTCGGATTCGCTGCCAGTGTCGCCGCGGACGTTGCCCATTGGGTACGGAAGGCCGCCTGCCCAAGAGCGGCCACTGTTGGTTTTGGACAACGTTTGTTGTTGGGTTCCGTGTCCATTTCGGGCGTCCAACGTCGGATGTTTGGGTTCTCTTCGCCGTGGGGAGCGAAGACGGGCGCCCTCCCGCCAGCTGGAAAGCGGCGCGGGGGGGTGGGGGGGGCACCCGCCTGTCGCTCGCGCGCGCAACTCCCGCGAGAGGACCGCGACGGCTGCGTCCTCGAGGCCGCCCCTGGGCGGGCGGGGCGGCGGGGTGGGGGCTGCGAGGGTTTTTCCTCCCGCTCATGCTGCTCCTCCTGCTCCTCCTCCTCCTCCTCCTCCTCCTCCTCCTCCTCCTCCTCCTCCTCCCCCTCCTCCTCCTCCTCTTGCTCCTCGTGCTCATCTTCCTCCCATCCTGGCTGGAGTGAATGACTGTGTGAATGAGTTGACAGGGACAGAGACGGTCAGAACAAGGAACTTCAAGAACTGCGTGCAGCTGATGGTCATTCATCGGCTGCCAGTGGTTGTATTTTTTGGGGGGAGGGTCTTCGATATCGGCACGAGCTTAGCCCAACGGCCAACGGCCCAAAACGGGGCCGTGGTGTCGACCAGATCTGCGACAGCAATCCCACGTTCAGCGTTGTGGGAACGCTTCCATGGCTAGTCCTACAGCGGACTCGCGAGGTCCACTGGCGCCAACTTCAGCATCGTTTCCGTAACCGCGTCAACGACGGCGCCACGCCAGCGCTCCATCCAGCCAGCCAGAGGTATTCCATCGAATTCGAGTTTGCATTGGTGGCCCGTGGGTTCATACCTTTTACAACATGTGGGCATGCTCTGGGTGGGCCCCAGGGACCAGGCGCAGCACCCACTGCGCATCTGCGCGGACTTGCCCTATGATGTCCGTCAATCGAAGTGTAGTTTCCACCGCCTGTTCGGAAAAGGGAAAGATATGTGCCAGAGTTGTGACCGATGGGATCCTTCGATTCGTCTTGCCGCGGATGGTTTCACTGGCTTGTTCCGCATCTCGGCCGATGAGGACGCGTGGTGGAGAGATGATCAGCCTCACCGTGCGAGGCCGTGAAAGGAGCCGTTCTGGAGTGAGGGAGACGCACCAGTTGAGTATGGGAGCTTTTCAGGGTAGTGAGCGTTTTCTTTCGTTGCGGCTCAAGGCAGTATCCCAGACCTTTACCAAAGTTAGCGGTTTTCGTACGTATGCGAGTCCAAGTCCTCCCCTTGTTCCCTTAGTTGTGGCTCCTCAGCAGGCTCCACATCGAGGGAAAGGCAGTAACAAGGGCCGCGGATCCAGTCGTGGGTCGGTTTCCTATGTGGTCCCCTCGTGTACGCCTGCGCGGCGTCTGAGGGTTCGCCACGGTTCGCGTGCAGTGTTGGTCCAGCCAGGGCGGGTCACCGCACCTCGCTTCTTGAAGGATAACCCGCTTCCGCTTGATTGGGTTGCGCAGAGTTCTTTGCCAGTTTAGTAGTATGTGGTTGAGGAGCGCATGTGAAGTCCCCGCGCACTGCTCATTGCTCATTGCTCCTCCTCCTCTTCCTCTTCCTCCTCCTCCTCCTCCTCCTCCTCCTCCTCCTCCTCCTCTTCCTCCTCTCTGCACTGCGCTGTTGCCTTGCACGCGCCCGCCGGTCTGGCAACGCGAAGGCGGCCAGGAGCAGCCCGCAGAGGCGCGTTTCCTTTTCGGTTTGGGTTAGGGGCTGCGGCCCGCAGGCCGGAGGGCTTCTCGAGCAAAGCTCGAGGAAACACTTGCGCAATCAAAACAGACGTTCGGAGGTCCGCGCAGATGTTTGGATTTGCGTTGGCCCCCATGGGCGGCGCCTCCATGGCCACCGTTGGCGAGTTCCGTGCGCCAATGGGGGTCAACCAGCGCCGATCCAAGAAATCGGCGCGGACCACGAAACCGTATGTTCATGTTCCACCTCCGTGGTCGGCTGAGGACCGCTCGGCCGCCCGCCCCCGCACCCTGGTGCGCTGATCTGCTACTCCTGCTCCTCCTCGTCCTCGTCCTCCTCCTCCTCCTCCTCCTCCTCCTCCTCCTCCTCCTCCTCCTCCTCCTCCTCCTCTTCCTCTTTCCAGATTCAGGAATCCCGCAGGTCAAGGGCTCGAAGACAACCCTTGTGCCGCCAGGTGGCGGGTTCGCACGTTCGATCCAGCGGTAGGGGCGCCGGGCGGGTGTCTCACCCAGGGAGAAGCATGTGTTGTCTTTGCCCAGAGAAAAGCAAGGTGCCCTGGGTTTCTCGGGTTTTGATGGTTTTGCCATGGAGAGCGTGACGTTCCCATACCAGAAATGAATGGACGTCCTGGGGTCTCAGGGGTTGGGTTTCTTGCTGAAGGTCTCTTGTTGACTGGCCTCCAGTGTAGCCACACACTGCCGTTCCCTAGACTGGGAGGGTTTGACAGGATTGCCTTCTCCTCCCCAGAGAGGGCGGCGCGAGAGCGCGGGGACGACCGCACGCGGCGCAGCGCTGGGCGCGGAGTTGCGTGCTCTCAGATCTGCGCGATGGAAATTGGTACAGAGCGCACGGGGGCGAGTACCAGCAGTCGTTCCGGACCAGTTGAGGAGGGTTCGGTGCCGGGTGTCGGTTCGGACGTTGGCCATTTGAGACCAGAAGCCACTTGCCCATGCGTGGCCGCTGTTCGCTTGGGCACGACTTGCTGTCAGGCATCGCCCTGATGTTTTCCGCACCGACCTCGGGCGTGCAGGCCAGAGGGCGAGCATCCGCGGAGGCGCAGCCTCGAGCCCTGGGGGTCTCTTAGAGGCCTTCCGTAGGCTTCTTGAACCCAGGCCTCCCGGCTTGGATCCGAGCAGGTGGGGTTGGAGGATCGCGCCACATCGCCGATGCATCGGCGATGCGGGTCGATGTGGAGCTCGATTTTCTCCACGTCGACGTCGCCGATGCATCGCCGATGTATCGCCGATGTATCGCCGATGCGTCGCAGTTGCGTCTAAGAGGCATGGGAAATGCGACGGCTCGGGCGGCCCCAGGTTGCACTGCTGGCCCGTTGGCCCGCCGAGGCCGAAAGGGTACGTGAGGGGGGGGAGAAGCGCTACAGGGTCAGCCCGAGGGCAGTAGCCGCACCAGCGGAGATGTGAGCAGCATCGCATATCGCCTGACGAGAGGCGGTGCCACCAAGTAGGCGCCCTGTTCTTGAACGGCACCGCCCTCACACATTCGAGACGTTGGAACATCGTCGTCTTTGGCGTCGGAAGGGGCCCGATAATCCTTGGATGATTGCATGGGTCTTCCTTTGGCGCTCCTCGTGCATGTGGGCACAATGGAGACCAAAGGGGGCGGCTTATTGTCTGATCCACATTTCCTCGCGACGCACACACACACACACACGCACACTCTTTGGCTGTAGTCTCACAGCCGTGGAGAGCGGCAGAGATCCGGGGCGACTCTAGCTTTCCGTCGAGACGTGGCCCCCCCGGACCTCTCGACCACTCCTCCTCCTCCCCCTCCTCCCCCTCCTCCTCTTCCTCCTCCTCCTCCTCCTCCTCCTCCTCGTCCTCCTCCTCCTCCTCCCCCGTGGCTGGCTCTGCATGCCGGGTCGTCTCTGCCTGCCCCAGGGGCCCCAGATGGGCCCACTGCTGCCGAGCGCGGCGCCAGCCTGCCGCCGTGGCTTCTCCGCAGCAGCTCGGGCCTCTGGCGGCCGCCGGGCACGATGCAGGCATCTCCCCCAGGGGCGCCCCCGTCGAGGCGCGGCCCGCCGCCCGCCCGACCCGACCCGATGCTCCTCGATGGCGAAGCAGCAACGCACACCCGCGCCCATAGGGGGGTGGCAGAGGGCTGTGGGCGCGCGTCGTCGGAGGGGGGCCGCCGCTCGAACCGATGGGCTTGTTTTCCACCACCACCACCGCCATGAGTTGGAGGGAGGGGGTCCTCTTCCTCCTCCTCCTCCTCCTCCTCCTCCTCCTCCTCCTCCTCCTCCTCCTCCTCCTCTTCGTCCTCCTCCTCGTCCTCCACCTCCTTCCCCCTCCAACTTACGGTGGTGGTGGTGGAAGACAGGCCCATCACGAACGGAGGCGTTCCCCGGGGCCCGACAACCCGCACCCATGCCCATAGCCGGCCCTCCTCCCAACGATCCCCCCCCCGCTATGGGCGTGGGCGTGCGCGCTGTTCCTTGGGCGCTGTCGAGGCCCTGCCGGCGGCCCGGGGCCGGCCCCCAGGCGGACCTGGACGCCGGCGAGGCGGGCCCCGGCGGCCCGGCGCGGCGGCGGCCCTCCGAGGACGGCGAGCTGCGGATCGAGCGGCACGCCGCCCCGCGCCGCCCGGCGCCCCGGCATAGGGCGGGCACGCCTCGCGAAAGTCGGGGGCCCCCAAACGGGGCGGTGGCCACACCGCGCGGTGAGTCGGTGGGGATTCGGGGTCACCGCACGGTTTTGGGGCTCGGGTCGTTCTCCGAGGACGTCTCGGGCGACAGGGGCCTCCAGGGTCCCAAGACCGTGCGGTGACGGACCGTGCGGTGAGGTCTTGGGGGATTTCGAGGTCACCGCACGGTGTGTCACCGCACCGTTTCGGGACTCCAAAGGAAGCTTGGCGGAGGAGTCCAAAGTCAAGCAGTGGCGAAGCGTCCTGGCGTGCCTATAGGCCTACCAAACAGTGTTCTAAGAACCTTTTATGTGGTCTGCACGAATGATTCCTTAGAACGTTTCTGGCTGGGACCGTCTTGTTTTAACACATCGGGCTTATGTTCTAAGAGCATTGTTTCTGTTTTGAGAACGCTTCTGGGCTCAAGGAACATATCGTGGTAGGGCTAAAGAAATGCCTGGACGGTCAGGGTTTTTTGGGGGAGGGGGTTTGCCAAGAGGGGTCCCCCAGGGGCTTCGCACCCCCGCTTTTGACGAGGTTCCGAGGCTCCTGGGGGGGAGGGGGCTCTCTGGAAAACCCCCTCCCCCAAACCCCTCTTTGGAACCCTCTCAGAAGCTGGGCGAGGGCTGGAGCTCGGCGCACCAAATAGTAAACGGGCCGCTTCCCGGAGGAAAAGGGAAACACGGGTTTGCCAGCCGTCGCCCGGCTTCCGAGCTTCAGGGGCAACGATAGGGGGGGATAGGGCGTAGGAGGGGATGCATCGACCCCCAATGCCCACTCCTCGCCGAGAGGGGCCCGATGTCCCCAACCTGCCCAGGAGGGTGCGGATTCGCGATCGGAGGCCTGGCCAATCCATCGGCGATGTGTCGCCGATTCCAGGTCGATGCATCCCCCCCTTGTGCCGGACCCCCACTGTCGTTGCTCCTCCATGCCGTGGGAGGAGCGGAGGCGTCCTCGCCTTGCTTTGCAGCACTTCGCAGGAGCCCGCGCCGCAGCACGCCGCCACCAGACCAGCGCGGTCTGAGGGAGCAGCATTCCTGTTCCTCTCCCCCACGGCCGCCGCTTGCGTCTTCCTCGCCCCTCCTGTGTTCTAGGGCTCCTGGATGGGGTCGGAGTAGATGGGGTCGGAGGATCGCGCCGCATCGCCGATGCATCGAGGATGCAGTTCGATGTGGAGCCCGATGTTGTCCGCGCTGGCGTCGCCGATGCGTCGCCGACGTCGCCGATGCATCGTCGTGTCTAATCTGGCCTCATCTAGGAGGCCTCTGTGTGTACAATTCAGCATTGCACAACAGCCCTGCTATGCCCGACCGGCCCGCGCGACCGCCGATTCTGCGACAAATTCGCTTGGCGGAGAACCCAGCCCTTCCTCATAACGAGGCCTACTATGAGCAGGACTGCTCAGTGAACGAGAATCTTGTGAGGGGCCTGTGGTGCCCCTGAGAGCTACTCCAACAGGGGCAGACCACACTGACGGGGTTAGGTATGCACCAAAGTGGGGCGACTAAGCATGAGGACCTCGCAACTGTTGCGTTCGGCGGAACTCCTTGTGGGGCCACGAAACGTGTGAGGTGTGCTCCAAAATGGGGCGGGTAACCATGCGGACCCTGCTATTCAGGGCCATCAAAGCTCCCCATGGGCCACGAAACGTGTGAGGGGTGCGCCAAGATGGGGCCGGTAGCAATGCGGACCCTACCACTGGGGCATTCGGTGGAGCTTCTTCTGCTCCGCGAAGCGTGCGAGAGGCGCACCGAAAAGGATCGGACAACCATGCCGACCTTGCCATTGGGGCCTTCGGCGGAGCTCCCCCTGGGACCATGGAGCGTATGAGGGGTGCGCCTAAGTTCGGCGGGAAACCATACGGACCTTGCCATTGGGGCCTTCGGCGGAGCTCTTCCCTATGGGGGCGCGAAACGTATGAGAGGCGAGAGGTGCTCCGACATGGGGCGGATACGTAGCCATGTGTGTCCTGCCGTGGGGGCCTTCGGCGGAGCTCCCCATGGGGGCACGAAAAACGTTTGAGTGGGCGAGTGGGGCCTCCAGGGTTACGTCGGGCCTGTCCATCTACAGGAGGAGTATCCGAAAACCAACAAATAGTCCCGGTACGACTTCTCTGTTATTTGTTGGGCTATTCTGGAGTCTGTTTTGACGGTGTTCTATTTTTCCTCCGAAATCCGCCTCTAGGGGGACATGCCCGACCTGAGGCCAGTGGGGCCTCCAGGGCCTCAAAACCATGCGGTGACCGACAGTGCGGTGAAGCTTCTCGGGTCTCCGAGGTCACCGCGCAGTCTGCCACCGCGCGGTCGTGGGACCCCCCAAAGTGGAGATCCTGGCCGGGACGTGCTCGGCGAGGTTCCGTGGGAGGAGGGGGGGTCCCTCTCCTTCCCGACGGCACGCACCACGCTCGTCGCGCTCTCACTCTGCGCGATTCGCTAGGACGGAAAAAACCGGCGAGAGAGAGGGCCAGTCAGAGCAGCGTCGACCCTGCCTGGCGTGGTTCATGCATTTCGGGTCTCCTGGATCCAGTCCGATGAAAGGGGCAGAATGGACCCCAGGAGCGGTTTGGGAAACGCTTTTGAGCGGATTTGGGCTTGGCGGGAGGGCCGCCGTTATCTGAATCGGCCCTCCTCCGAGAAAGAGGTGGCTTCATGTGTGTGAAGCTTGGGGCGTACTCTGCAGCCTGCAGCTAGTTTCGGCATCGCCATAGGACACTTCCCGTTATGCACAATGGTTTCTGGCGCCAGAAAGCGTTGGGAAACCACTGTTGCGTCAGTGTCGTAGTTGGTTCGCTGGAGCCCCTTTCGCTGAACCCTCGTTTCATGCACCATGGGAATTGCAGCTCCACGTGATCATGCGCGCACACGGAAGCCCGTACTGCGAGAGACTCATGATCGCGCGCGGAATTGCGATGAGAATCGGCAGGTCGGTCAGCCTTTTTTGGGAAGCGATGGAATTAGCACGTTGATGTTGTTGTTCATTCCCATGCGGGACGTTCGTCTCCCCAGTTTGGAGGACGATCCATTGCATGTGTCAATTTGTGTGTACGCCGCCGCGCTAGGCAAATACAGCTCGAGGCCGAGCAGGCACAGGACTGCATATTATCTATGCTCTGCAAAGGATTACCATGTGAGAGGCGATGCGAACAGGCAATGAACTTCAGCAGTAAGTGGGGACATGCTCGTCACACTTGCGCTGGCAATCTTATTGTACCACTCATTGACTTGGTATGCACGCTCGGATTCAAACATTGAGCATGGTGTGTGAGGTACATTCTGCATGCTTCGCGTACCCCCACCAGCCCATCCAACAACAGACCCCAGTCGAGTTGCCCTGATCAGGGATGTGCAGCAGCATGCAGCTCAGGAATGAGCCACATCCGTCTTCGCGGGTTTGGGGAAGGACTACGTTTACGACGGTGACGACATGGGTACCCCTCAAGGCCTTGGCAGATCGTTCGCCGTGGGAGCGCCTTGCAGGTCTCGCGGGGCCAGTTTGGAGACCTCTGGTCTTCCTTGGTCCTCTCGTGGGGCCAATTGGGGGGACCATTGAGACCCTCTTGGGTCCTCATGGAGGCTGTAGAGGCCCTCTTGAGGCCTGGAAGCCATCGATCAACAAAACGAGAGAGGCGCCACTTTCGGAAAGTGCGCCAGTGGATCTCCCTGAATCCACTAAAGAGGGGGGGGTCCAGAACCCCCCCCCCTCCCCTCCTTCAAAGGGGGGGGGGGGTCCGGAACCCCCCCCTCTCTCCCCCCTTCAGGGGGGGAAGGGGGTTCCCGACCCCCCCCCCCCCCTTTCCCCCCTTGGCGTTGGAAGGGGGGGGGGGGTCGGACCCCCTCCCCCGTGTAGGGAGTACGGAGTTGGGAGTAGGGAGTGGTGAGTAGTGAGTAGTGAGTTAGTGCGTAGTGAGTAGTGAGCGAGTAGGGAGTAGGGAGTAGTGAGTAATGAATAGTGAGTCGTGTGTACTGATAAGTGAGTAGTGAGTGTCGAGTAGTGAGTAGTGAGTAGCGAGTAGCGAGTAGTGAGTACTGAATAGGGAGTAGGGAGTAATGAATAGTGGGCAGTGAGTTAGTGCGTAGTGAGTAGTGGGTGGCGAGTAGTGATCAGAGAGTAGTGAATAGTGGGTAGTGCGTAGTGCGTAGTGAGTAGTGAGTAGTGAGTAGCGAATAGTTAGTAGTGAGCAGGGAGTAGTGAGTAGTGAGTAGTGAGTAGTGAGTAGTGAGTAGTGAGTAGCGAGCAGTGAGTAGTGAGTAGTGAGTGGTGAGTATTGAATAGTACGTGGTGCGTAGTGAGTAGTGATGAATAGAGAATAGTGGGTAGTGACTGTGTAGTGAGTAGCGAGTAGGGAGTAGCGAGTAGTGAGTAGTGAGGAGCGAGTAGGGCCTAGTGAGTAGTGAGTAGTGATTAGAGAGCAGTCAGTAGTGAGTAGTGGGTAGTGATTAGTGAGTAACGAGTAGGGAGTAGCGATGTAGTGAGTAGGGAGTAGGGAGTAGTGAGCAGTGAGTTGTAAGATGTGGGTAGCGAATAGTGGCTACTGAGTAGCGATTGGTGAGTCGTGGGTAGTGGGTAGTGAGTAGTGACTAGTGAGTTGTGACTAGTGACTAGAGACTATGTAGTGACTAGTGAGTAGGGAGTAGTAGGTAGTGAGTAGTGAATAGTGAGTAGTTGGGAGTGAGTAGTGAGTATTGAGTAGCGAGTATTGGAGTAGCGAGTAGTGAGTACTGAGTACTGTGTATTCAGTATTGTGTAGGGAGTAGTGAGTAGATAGTAGCGAGTAGTGGGTAGGAGTAGTGATTTGTGGGTAGTTAGTAGTGAGTAGTGGATAGTGGGTAGTGGGTAATGAGTAGTGATTAGTGAGTAGCGAGTAGGGAGTAGTGAGTAGTGCTTCGTCAGTAGTGTGAGTATTGAGTAGTGAGGAGTGAGTAGGGAGGAGGGAGGAGTGAGTAGGGAGTGGTGAGTAGCGAGTAGTGGGTGGTGGGTAGTGAGTAGTGGATAGTGAGTAGTGAGTCGTGAGGAGCGAGTAGGGCCTAGTGAGTAGTGAGTAGTGATTAGAGAGCAGTCAGTAGTGAGTAGTGGGTAGTGATTAGTGAGTAACGAGTAGGGAGTAGCGATGTAGTGAGTAGGGAGTAGGGAGTAGTGAGCAGTGAGTTGTAAGATGTGGGTAGCGAATAGTGGCTAGTGAGTAGCGATTGGTGAGTCGTGGGTAGTGGGTAGTGAGTAGTGACTAGTGAGTTGTGACTAGTGACTAGAGACTATGTAGTGACTAGTGAGTATTGAGTAGCGAGTATTGGAGTAGCGAGTAGTGAGTACTGAGTACTGTGTATTCAGTATTGTGTAGGGAGTAGTGAGTAGATAGTAGCTAGTGAGTAGGGAGTAGTAAGTAGTGAGTAGTGAATAGTGAGTAGTTGGGAGTGAGTAGTGAGTATTGAGTAGCGTAGTATTGGAGTAGCGAGTAGTGAGTACTGAGTACTGTGTATTCAGTATTGTGTAGGGAGTAGTGAGTAGATAGTAGCGAGTAGTGGGTAGGAGTAGTGATTTGTGGGTAGTTAGTAGTGAGTAGTGGATAGTGGGTAGTGGGTAATGAGTAGTGATTAGTGAGTAGCGAGTAGGGAGTAGTGAGTAGTGCTTCGTCAGTAGTGTGAGTATTGAGTAGTGAGGAGTGAGTAGGGAGGAGGGAGGAGTGAGTAGGGAGTAGTGAGTAGCGAGTAGTGGGTGGTGGGTAGTGAGTAGTGGATAGTGAGTAGTGAGTCGTGAGTACTGAGTAGGGGGTAGTGAGAAGTGAGTAGCGAAAAGCGAGTAGTCAGTAGTGAGTAATGAGTAGTGAGTACTTTTTGGGGCTGGGGTTGGTGGTTGGGATTAGGATTAGGGGTTTGGGTTAGGGTGAGGACTAGGGGTAGGGGTGGCGGGTCGGGTCCGGAGTCAGGGGGCGGCGTGGCGAAAGGGGGGGAGGGGGGGGGGGGGGTTCGGACCCTCCCCCCTCTTTTTGAAAGGGGGGGGGGAGGGGGGGGTTCCCCGACGACGGGTCGGGGAAAGGGGGGGAGGGGGGGGGGGTCCCCGACGGCGGATCGGGGAAGGGGGACGGGGGGGGGGTCCCCGACGACGGATCGGGGAAGGGGAGGGGGGGGGTCCCAACCCCCCCACCCTTTGGGAGATCCAGCGGCGCACCCTCCCAATTTCGCCTTATGGGACAACGCGCCCAAACTTTCTTGTGGTCGCGGCGTCGCGGCGGCTCGGGGCAAGACGCGGTCAGCTCAGAAAGGAACCTCGATTTCGCGAGGTAGCCCCCCTCCCCAAGCAATTGGCAGGGGAAGAAAGAGAAAGAGAGGCAAAGGAGGGAGACACACATGGGAGCACTGCATATTGGGTAAAGTTCCTAAGTGGTGCGGGCGGACTAGACGCGCCAACTGAGTGCTCGATTTGGCCCGTCCCTCCGCCACGAGACTGGGTAGGTGAAGGTCAGTGGGGCGAAGGTGGGGGGGGAGCGGGGGCAGCAAGGAGTGGAGGAGGAGGAGGAGGAGGAGGAGGACGACGAGGGACGAGGAGGAGGAGGAGGAGGGGGAGGACGAGGAGGAGGGGGAGGACGAGGAGGACGAGGAGGAAGAGGAGGAGGAGGAGGAGGAGGAGGACGAGGACGAGGCCCTCTCGAGGCCGGTGGAAGGAGGAGGCTCTTCGCGTTGCAGCCTCCGAGGCCCCGGCTCGCAGCCGGTGGACCCGCCCCCCCCCCACCGGGGAGAGGCCGCCCGCTCGACTGCCCGTGGCGGAGACTCGGGCTGTGAGCGGGAGACGTCGTCAAGAGAAGGAGGAGGAGGAGGAGGAAGAGGAGGAGGAGGAGGAGGAGGAGGAGGAGGAGGAAGAGGAGGAGTGAGCAAGGAGCGCGGTGCGCTGTCTCTTCAAGACGAGGCCCAGCACCACAGGGCGGTTTGGAGAAAAACACGAAGCAAAAGGCATGCACGGGGGATGGACGTCCGAGCGATGGCAAGCATCTGCCTGAAGCATAACTACTCCAGGAGGGAAAGAAACACAGACACAATTAACCGTCGGCTCCCAGGAGAATATGCGAAACTAGGGGAAGTGGGGGTGGAGACGAGAGCCTAGAAAATCTTGGAACATATGGGGACTTCATGTTATTTGTGCGTATTTGTTTGTGCTTCCCTGGGCCCCTTCATCTATGGCAACCGTGGCGGGGCCGAAGGTGACGAAGGTGACCATGGTCACGGAGGAGACTCGGCGAATGGAGGCGCCACGAGGGGTCGCACGCATACACCGGATGATGGCCCCGCTGGCAAGCATCCTTCTTCCGGCAGAGGAACAGCAGGGGCCAGGCCAGTGAAGGGGCTCGTGGCAGCAGAGACACGTGGGGCGTCACGAGCTCCTGGTGGACCAGCGACAGATCGTGGCGGAAACGCTGGCGGATGGTCGACTGCCACTCGGCGACAGGACCGCTCTCGTGGCGACGATGGAAGGTGGAGTCCAGGAAGCCACCGAGTGGGAGGACCGCCCCCAGTATGCGGGCAGCGTGGCCCTGGGGACCGGGTGGCGCCCGCGGGCCTGGTTTGATTCGATTCGGGGCTGCGTCGAGCAGTCGAGCCTTCACCTCTGCAGCAGGAGGTAAGCACTGCTCGGACGGAAGAAGCGCACGAAACTTGCTTCGGGGTTGGCGCCCCCTGGCGAGGTGCACCGAAGGCTGGCACGTGGGGTGGAGCAGCTACGGTGCCCGCCTCGGGGGTTCATTACCATCGCTCTCTCCGCTTCTCTTCTGAGCAGGCTTCCATGCGCGTTCCGCCGCGCGCGTTTGGTTCGAGTGACTCGTAAAGACATGGCGCGACGGGCGTCTTAGCGGATAAGGTACGCGCGCCCTGTCTCTCGGGCGCGCGTATCACCACCCGCCCTTACACTGTCGAACCGGGGAAGCATCGCCATGTCGCAAGACATCTTTACGGGTCCCTCCGAGTCAGGAGATCAGGGCAAGGGAGACGTTCGTTCGCCAGGGACTTTACATTATTCGATAAAACAACAGAGCATGTTTGCAAATACTGCGACGCAGCCGCCATCGGCCTCCGACGCCCAGTCGTGAGTGTATGTTTTTGTTTACGAGCTGTATGCTCCGATGTTCTTCTGCGGATGTGAACGCAGTCCCCCCATGATGTGTCGTCCGTCCGAGAGAGGCCCGGCCAGGAGACGGACGACTCCGTCTTCTCGCCGCTGCGTGCCTTGAGGGCCGCAGATGAGCTCGGACAGGAACCCGGCCGCGGGGGAGGTGGTCGAGGAGGTGGAGGGGGAAGGATGGGAAGGGGGAGGGAGGAGAGATGAGAGGAGGAGGAGGGGGAGGAGGAGGACGACAAAAAGGAGGAAGGGGGTTGGGGGGGGGAGGAGGACTAGGACGGGAGGGGGACGAGGAGGGCGAGGCGGGGAGGGAGGACGATGTGGACGAATAGCGAGGGGAGCACGGGGAAGACGAGGAGGACGAGGATGGATTCGGACGTTTTCCCTGCGGTGCCTTCGCTACCACAGCTGGATCCACCTTGATTTTCTTGACGGTTCGCATATCCCGACCAGCCCATTTAGAAACGTTGCCCAGGCGAGTTGCCTTAAATCAGAGTAGTGTCGGGGCAAGCAGTGGAACGAAGAGGGGGCGGCTGTCAAACCGAAGCCCGGGAACAGCCTGATCAGGTCCAGGAGTCAACCACGCATGCCTTCCCAGATCTTTCGATATGGGAGCCTCTTCGTATCTTACTTGGGTCATTTCAGAGGCCTTTAGATATCTATGGCTTTCTTGGGGCCTCCTTGGGGACCTTAGGATCATTATATGGACCATCGGCCAAAGGAGGGGAAGCCATCGATCTAAGACAGGAGGGGCCCTTCTATCAGCCGAGCTCTTCTGGAGTAGCGCACCATCGCCTCTTCGGGTATTCTGGTGCTCTTTCAGCGCTCTGGGGCGTTCTTGGAGCTACATTCGGCCCCTCTTGAGGCTCTCGTTCGCCATCTTCTCTTCAGGCCTCAGGAGCCCGTCGGAATTAAAAAGGCGAGAAGGCCGAATACATTGCATTTCTGTAAGTCAGGAAGGAGAAGAAGATGATGAATGGAGCGCCCGAATTCTGGAGTAGCCCCATAGCTGACAACGCTATCCACCACCAAGACCACGATCAGCAGCAACCAGAGAGCCTGCCGATTTGGTGATGGATGTAACATTTCATCGAGACCTTCCCCAAAATCAGAATCCCCAGCTCGCAAGCGGCGGTCAGCATGGTGGTCCTCATCATCGGGTTGGGGTGGCAGCTGAAGGTCACCAATCTACTTTTGCCAGCACCCTAGGGGCCGACGTCCAGAAAAGATCAGGCAGTCCGTGGCGATCGCCAATGGCACGTCGAAAGCGTGAGTACTTCGGGCGTTCAGCCCACAAATGTCGAAATGAGGGATTGATGGCCTGGCAGTGTTTGCAAGGCAATCCCGTTCTTCTGCGCGTCTCCGAAGCTACGGCCCCAGACCGAAATATATTCAAGGATGCCTTTTGCTCTTCCGACAACTGCTTGACACAAATCTTGAAAGATGGGTGGGGCTCAGCATCAATATCCACATCCAGGATCTCAGGTGCGTCCGCCCGCTTATCATTGACCATGGTCAGGCACCGAACTCGTACAAAACACCTCAGCACGTGCTCGATGCGCTTGTTGTACCTCGGCTCGTTGGGACGGTGCGTCCACAACTCTCGTCCCGTCGCTTCCACACGCCTCAGTACTCGGTGGCCATCATGCTCATCCACATTCAGGATGCATCTTCGACCATGTGCGTATCTGAGAAAACGAAGGCCTAGAACGGCCGCATGTTGCTTCACAACGTTCTCCAATCATGTAGACCAGCACAGCCGCTCGCCCACGATCACCTTGACTTGGCATCGCTCGGACGTGTGCATTTTTCTTTCGGCGAGGACCATCGAGGAGCATCCTTGATCATTTGCCAAAAAACCACGCACGAAACCGAAAGAAACACAGGGAATGGACGTCCGAGCGATGGCCAGCTTGAAGGCATGTACGGCGCCCGACACCGGCGGGTGAAAGTTGGGCCCACCATCCCCCGTCGTACCACCACATATGTTTGGTCTTGATGACCGTTCTGAAGGGTGTCCTGCTGGTCAGCTCAGGAGGCGGAGCCGCCAGTGGACATCCCCACAACCACAGGGGGCGAATGTATTAGATAGCCATCCTCCGCCGTACTGCTGCTGTACCTGGGCGCGAGGACAGGGCGAGGATGGCGGCATTCAGCTTGTCCCAACCAGCACGAGGCCAGATCGGGTGAGTGGGGTCAACTGGCATGGCCACAACCCCAAGGTGTTCAATCAGCATTAGCGGAGCATCGGAGCGCGCCCACCTTTGCCTTTCGGTTTGGTTCTCACCGAACCGTACTGCCACGTCGCAGGACTGCGCGAAGGCAAGGTCGGCGTCGAGAGCTTCAACTGTGGCTGCCGCGATGGATTGATCGTCCATGCAGCGCGTTCCCTGATGCGGCTGCCACGGTGCCAATGACGATATCATCGCACTCGGGGCAACTGAATCACCTGCAATCCTCTCTCTTTGGCCATATAGGCGGGCGGCGCCAGCGCCTGGGCCAATTGGCAATGCCTCGCCCCCCGCCAAGATGCGAGCGCCGCAAAGGTCACCACAGGCGGGACTCCACTGCAAATGCGACGTTGGGCACCAGCCGCGAAGTCGATGTTATCGTAGGCTTCGATCAAGTCGAGCTCTGCCCCAGCTCCCGCGGACTCGCAGTCGTGGAGCCACGACGAGATGGCGTGGGCAACAGAGGTCTTTTGGTGACCTGCGTACTGATTATCAAGTGGCTGCGGCATGCCCTTAGCCAGCGCTGACAACCATCCTCGAACCAGAACCGAGCGCATGCTGATGGGTCGAAACTCCGTCCCTTTCTTGGGAATGCCCACGACCCCCCAGGGAATTTGCGCCCCCGCTCGGCGTTGGACAGCACCCCCTGGCGCTCTCACAGGGCCGTGAGGTGATGCGCCACAGTAACTGTATGGAACAACCGTCGTAGTAGATTGAGCTCCCTTGACGGCCATCCGTCAAGCCTTGGAACTTCATGACAATGCTCCATGTTGGAACCGAAGGACCCTAAAGTAGGAATCCGATTGTCACTCTTGTCGCTCTGTGGGAAGTCCATGTTAGCCGCCCACTCTTGCCAGCGCGTACAATGGCCAGCAGCGTCGTGGGATTCAGGACCTGGAGCCCACTGCCTTCCTCAACCTCGTCTCATCTCACTCGCATCGGACGGTGCCGTCGGTGAGGCAGCGCGAAACATGGGCGTGGCTACTCGGTGCACGTCGGACGACCACGTGGCAAAACGTTTCCTCCACTCTCGAGCATGCGGGGCCTGTACCTTGGCCTGCACTTTGGAAATGGCTCCAGGCAGCACGTTGAGCGTCTCGCTGTAGGGCGAGACTCCGCGCAGCGGGACCTCCCGGATCCCCCTCCCCTTCGCAGCGCGAGCCGCCCGTTCGCGCGGGTTCCCATCCACCGACGATTGAGGGTTCAGGGCGTTCTTACCTTTGAGCTTCTCGGACACATGGCGATGTAGTCTGGGCAGCAGTCGCAGCGCAATGGTCCCCGCCAACCCGGCAGGCGACCCAGGCGAAGTCGGTCTGGTCGAGGCCTCGGAACCCTTCGGCCTCTCGGCAGCCCGCGAAATAGTGTCGTAATCCTCCTCCAGCGCCAGCTGCAGGGCGGCCTCCGCCCTCTCGTGCCAGTGCTCCATACTTTCGCCAGGCCATCGTTGGCCATGTCGTGCAGGGTCTGGTCGGTCTGACTCGGCATTCTCTGCTCAAGCTTGGCCCGCAACTCCTCCATCCGGCCGTCTGACTCCGGGAGGCGGCGCGGCGTAAACGAAGTTGCGGGCGATGGTGGATCGGCCCCTGCAACTCGTGCTTGACGAGGCCATGGAAATGGACTCCAGGTACCATAGACATGCTGATGCACTTCGGCAATGCAGGCACAGGGGGGTCATAGCACAGGCACTTCGCAGGCGAGGTACCATCCGAACTTGTCGCTGCCAGCGCAGGCGTTTGGGACCACCCAGGCCCAAGTAAGCCATTGTACGCAGGTCGCCAATTCATATCTCCAACCAGATACGTCGGCACCCCCTGCACAGCAAAATTGTGCACGTACTCCAGGAAGCGCCCCCCCCCACACCACCAGGCAACATCTGAGTCCACTGGGCCGTAAACTGAAATGTGGATAGCTCGCTCCGTCTTGACACCAACCATGCGATGTCCAAAGAGCTTAGCACGGAAACTTTACCCACGCACGAAGGCCCCCACGCAATTGCACAGGCACCTTGACGGACGGCATGCCTACACAATGGAGGTGGCGGCGGAGAACATATTGCAAACCAGCCACGCTTTGTGAAGATATTGAGCGCCCAATCTGGCCGTTCGTCTCGTTGGCGAATCTCTCGTAGAGATAGGAAGTGCGATCCAGCCGCACCTCGGATACATTCTTCCAAGCGAGCCCTGGTCAAGGGTGTCACATTGATGGTAGCAATCTCCGTCCCCCCAGCAGACTCCCCAACATCATCTCCCCCTCCGATCAGAGGATCATCCCACAGATTTGGGCGCTGTTCCCTTGGAGATGGCCTTCGAAGACTCCGTCGGCACTTGGAGCTGTATTCGGGCGGTCTTGGGGGCCATTTGGAGGCATGTTAGATGCCACATTGGACCATCGCGTACGATGTCTTGACCTATCTGGAGCCATATTAGAGCCGCGCTGACCCAGCCGCCTCCCGCGGATGCCCCCGAGAATCCAACATCTTTGAACCCAAGTCGCCTCTTGGGGCCCTCGTGGGACGACGCTGGGGCGTGATGGGGCGTTTCTTGGGGCCGTCTTGGATCACTCGTGGGCGTCTCTCGGGTCTTCCTTGGGCCATCTTGGAGCAGTCTTGAGGCCTCGGACGGTCGTCGGAAGCCAAATGGCGAGAGTGCAAGTATCCTTCGTTTTTGAAAGGATTTGGGCCTCTTGGGGGGGATCCTCGAGAGGCACCGCGGCCGGTGCTGACGAGTCCCAGGGCGGTCCCGCAGCGGTCCCAAGGACTGGGGTTGGAGGGCGCGCCACGATCACCCACCAAGGTTTGAAGATCGCACATGCTTATTTTTTACGGAGCGGAGTTAACGACGCGCCGTTGAATGTCCGCGCCTGTCTCCCAATTCGCAACAAATTCGAAAGAGGACGCGCGGCCTCCCGAAGCAGAGGGTACACCCCCGCTGACGCAGGTTGCGTCGCTTCCTCTTCGACCCTACACCTCTCTGCCCCCTCCGCGTTCTTTTTCGTCCGCGCGCGCGGACGTCGCGCCAGCCGCGCCATCGGTTGCGCGCGGGTGTTCGCGATAACTGGTTGGGAGAAGCGTGCCGCCGTGACCATGGAAACGCGCCTCTTCGCCGCGTGCCCCACGCTGCATCCGAAGCCCTGTTCCTGCATGCACAGCAGAGTGACGGCTACCCCCCATCCCGCGAAGGCCACTTCGTGGAGCAAGTGCGCGGTCGACTTCACGCGCCAATTCCCCGGCTGCAGCGATGGACGAAAGGCAAACATGGTCACGACTTTGATGGCAGAGTCGCAGAATAATTCGCCTTTGAAAACACGCATCCGTTGCTAAACGTGTGCCAGCAGGTGCGCAACTGCCACGTCGCATTCAGCGCGGCGTAACCCACGGTACCCCCAGAAACACGATCGGCGTCGGCAGTTCCCCTGCAGGAGGGGATCGCGTGCCTCAGATTGGCCCGCTGGCCGCGGAACTTCTGGCGCGTTCTTTTGTCCTACGCCCAGCGTTCACAGAAGTCGCGCCGCCTGCCCGGCGCGTCGATCGCGTCGCAGCGAGCCTGAATGAGTCGCTTCATGTCAGCGATCGCGATGGCCAGGGCGCGACCTGCGAGCGTTTTCAATCGGCGCGCGCAACGGCAGCGCGCCGACAAAAACAGCCCTGGCCCCTGGGCCCACTGTCACGGCGCGCTGTCAGTCGCGAGCACGTCGACGGTGACGCCGCGGATGCTCGGCCACGGCGAGCGGCCTCCGCCCGCAGGACAGCGGCAACGACGTCCTGCAGCGAACGCCCGCTCGCGCCTGTGGCGCCGCCACCGGCGCGTTCCGCGCGCCATGCATGGGGTTCCACCGCCGACCCAAAAGAACCGTCGCAGACCTCCGAACGTTTGTTTGCTTGGCGTCGGTTGTCAACAAGAGGAAGAGGAGGAGGAGGAGGAGGAAGAGGAGGAGGAGGAGGAGGTGGAGGAGGAGGAGGAATAGGAGGAGTAGGAGAAGGAGGAAGAGGAGGAGGAGGAGCAGGAGGGGGAGGAGGAGGAGGAGAAGGGGAGGAGGAGGTGGAGGAGGAGGAGGAAGCGGAGGAGGAAAACGAGGAGGAGGAGGAGGAGGAGGACGAGGAGGAGGAGAAGGAGGAGGAGGAGGAGGAGGAGGAGAGCCTGAGGGCCTCAGGCACCTTTCCTCCGCCGTCGCACTGATGTTCCTGGCGTAGGCCCCCGAGGTCTCGGGGGCTTTTCCCTTGGCCTCTCAGCCCAGGTGTCGGGCTGCCGATCTGGCGGTCGGTCGGCCGCCGTTTCCGTCGTTACCGCCCTCGTCCTCGCCGCCGTCCTCGCCCCCGTCGGCCTCGTCGCCGCTGTCGGCGTCGCCGCCGCCGTCGCCGCCCCCGCTGCCATCGATGTCACCGCCGCCGCCGCCGCCGCCGCCGCCGTTGGGTTCTTTTTCGACGTCGTCGCTAACGACGTCGGCGGCTTCGCCGGCGCCGCCGTCGCCGCCGGGGTCGGCGTCGGCGTCGTCGCCTCTTCTCGGCGGCGGTCGGCGCTGCCGCCCAGCCAGGAGGCGGAGCGAGGCCTCGAGGCGGAGCTGGCGCGGGAGCTCGGCCTCGAGGGCGGCGCGCGGGCGCCGGGCACGGGCGCCCCAGACGAGGACCCGTACGAAAGGCGGGCCGCCGAGCCCACAGCTGCTGCAAGGGGCGAGGGAGGGCGGGTTCGAGGCTGGAGGGCTCGGGGCGTTTTCGTCGGTCCTCGGCGTGGCCCAGCCCAGGGAGGCGTTCCAGCAGCCGCGCCTCGCCGGGGGCGTTTCTGGGGGGTGCTCGAGCAGCCCCCCGAAGGGCTGCCGGAGGCCCGAGTTGTACGACCCGGGGCACAGTCATCCCGCCAGGCATCCGGCGGGCGGCTCGATAAGATCGAGGCGGCCGGATTCTGTCCAGTGGTTCGAAGAATAAGCGACATAAACATAAATTTTTGGCGCTCCGCGCGGATTGCTTGGATCCGCGCTGGACCCCCTCGGCGGCGGCTCCGGCACCGCCCCTGGCGCGCTCTGCGCGCCAGGGAGGGGGGGGTCCAGCGCGGATCCAAGAAATCCGCGCGGAGCGCCAGAAGATAATGTTGATTCATTCTTCTTCTTTTCTTCTTCTTCTTCTTCTTCTTCTTCTTCTATTGTGGTTTCTTGGGCCAGGTCCGGGCCCCAGGGCCGTCAGAAGACCCTTCGGGAAGAAGAGCCGGCCTCGGGTAGGTGGTCGATATCGAGGTTTGGGGGCCCATGTCTGGAAAAACGTGGATCCGCCGAATGTCTGGGGCAGGGGGGGGCTCTGCCTCAGGTCCAGGCCTCGCAAACCAGAGCAGCTGGGGGCGGAGGATCGTCTTGCATCATTGACTTAGCGTCGTTCGGGCGTGTGTGTTTTCTTTCCGGCGAGGACCATCGAGGAGCATCCAGGATCATCGAGCAAAAACACGCACACACACACGAAACCGATAAATACACGGGGAATGGATGTCCGAGCGATGGCAAGTTGATCCATCGGCATAGTGGCGCAATCCGGAGCTTAAGTTTCTGCATCTCGACGGTGCCGATGCATCACTGATTCGGCACGACTCTCGGGAGCCTTCTTTGGGAGGCCTCCATTAAGGGGGAAAGCATCGACCCCGAATAGCGTTCTCTGTGCCGATAGGTCCTGGGTGCCCCAACCTGCCAAGGAAGGTGGGGGATCCCCATCGTGGGTTTATCCTCGATCTTTTGGCGATTTCAAGTCAGTGTGTCCCCTCCCTGATCGGACATACGTAGGCAGGACCCCAGGTAAGGGGAGCCGGTTAGTGATTAGGCCCCGCGGCCCCAATAACGGACCAGACTCATTGAACCAGGTCTGCCGTAGCTGGTGTTCCCTCGGGTGGCGGCAGTTCTGGTTAACCGATGTAAGTCTTTTAGTTTTGCTCCCCCCCTGTTTCTCTCGGCGGGAAATACAATTCGTCCCTTCTCTTCCTCCTGCTCCTCCTCCTCTTCCTCTTCCTCCTCATTCTCCTCTTCCTCCTCCTGCTCCTCCTCGTCCTGCTCCTCCTCCTGCTCCTCTTCCTCCTCTGTCCTCTCGTGAGCGCAGTAGTCGTCGTGATAGTCGTAGTCGCAATCGTAGTCGCAGCCGTCGTCGTCGTTGTTGCGGGTGCCGTGGGTGAATAATGATTTTCCGCTATTAGTGTGGGCCCAGTCCGTCAATAAGGGCATCGAAACGATAATAAGTTTCCATTATTCGGGGGGGCGGGCTCTAAAGACTTATCACGCGGTCAGTGGAAGAG